CCCCTCGTATTGCCTTTTCATTGCCTGAGTCAGCCTGACTGCTGTCCCTTGGCACGCGATTGCCCCCTACTGGCCCCGTACCTCGTGCTCCGAGTGCCAGCAAGCCAACGAGTACCGAGCCGCGTGATGCGTTCGATGAACCTGGACCGAGGTCGAGCAACGAGCACACAGCCTCCGTCTGAGGCCGGCCTCGTCGGATTCCGAGGCTTGCCACGAGCGACGCCAGCAACTGTTCAGGCAGTGCGACCCCCATAGCGTTCCACCGGACCACTGGTTCGTCAAATCCGAACCCAGCCCCGTCGCGGAACCCCACAGGGATGGTAACTTCACTTCTGAAGACATAAAAGTCTGGCGCGCCACTCCCTCTTTCCTAAAATCCTTGCCATCAGGAGATCCTCGTTCCGACCTAGGATTCCACTCCCACTTTCCTAAAATCCTTGGCACACCCCTCTTCGCACTTCCAGCCCCCCCCCCCCCCCTCGGCCCCCATTCCACTCCGATCAGGAAGTCGTGTTGGGCGTGAGGTTGGTATCAGAGCCGACACATGGCGAGCTTGCGGTTTGACAAGCAGCCTGAAGCAGGTAGGCCCCCTAGTTAAAGAGATCTGGCGAACCGAGAGCGACCTAGGCAAAGGAACGCGTCGAGACGTGACTCAATATTGACCTGAAGTAGGTCGACGGGTCGGCTGGCCGCCAACATGAACGCCAATCAAGCGCAAAACGTTAATGTACAGCTAGGCGGGGTACCCATTCCCGCACCACCAATTCGAGTTCACGCACCTGTGGCTCCACCTGATTTGTATCTCTTTGACCCCGCATATCACCTAGCCGGAGCATGGTTGGCCACACTGCGTGCACAACAATACGACAATGATGAAGCTCGAATCAACATCCCCGCCAGGTTGGGAGGGGATGCGCACCACTGGTTCAACACTTACGTTTGGGTGGATCTCCCGACCTTCGAGCGGGATTTCTTAAATCGATTCGACTATATCCATCCGGAACAGGCCTTTTTTTATGATCAAGGATCGGATTCAGAAACCACTCGAATCCGTTATTGAATATCATAATAGGTTCTATAGGATGTTCGTCAAAACACAGAGAGGGGAAGAGGTCAGGAAAAATCTACTCATCGATGGGCTCCGTAGCCGGACAATAAGGGTGGAATTGCAAAAGCAGTTCTCCCCGATCAATCATACCCTGCAACAGATCATGTCTGCTGCGCAGGAAATGAAACGAAAATTAGCTGCCAGTTTCTTAGAAGGAGAGGATTACCCCAGGCCCCAGGGAAGGGGATTCCTCAGAACTGGCCAGAGCGAAGGCCAAGCTAGTTGCACTTCAAAACAAATTTGAAAACATGGGCTTCGTCTCTGGTCCTGTCACCTATCTAGAACAAATCGCAACCAAGAGGCCAGTGTCGGACACAGCTATGGGATTCCCTGTACCTGTTATGGCCGCCCCTGCACCTCCCCCGGATTCCTCGGCAAGGCCGAACGAATCAAATGTCATACTGGAACTAACCCAAACATTAGTTAGCTTGATGCAGGAAAGTAAGAAGGAACAACGCGATCACAATGCCAGGATATAATCGTTAATGAGGTCGATGCGCCCCATTGCCGTTAGAGCCGCACCAGTGGCGCAAGGAATCGCCCCCGCTCAGGCCATGGGCGGAGCGACGACTAATATGAGCGTTTGTTACACGTGTCACCAGCCGAGCCACATAGCCCGCGACAGTCCACTCCGACCTACACAAGCTCGAGTTGGAGCCGCCTTGTGGCTGCTGCGTTTGTGGCCAACGGACCAGGGAGGGTGGACACAATGATTGAAGAGATAGAAGGAGGAGGAAAGCCACTACTGAAGAAGCTGCGAAGCTTATCCCGCTTGACCAATACGTTGCATTGGGTTACCCGGGATTGGGAATGGTCGGAACCATCCGACCCGCCAATGAACAGCGAGAGATGGCCAAATGGAAACCTTCTCCGGGAGAAATGGAGTCGGACAGTCCCACCTTCGTTACTGGAGAGATCGATGTTCTGAACATCGTCCGAGCCTTAGATCATCGAATTCCTTTGCCAATCATGCACCTATTGTTCTTATCGGAGCAAGGCAATGAGCGCATGCTGCAGCATTGCAAGGCAAATAGAAAACGATTTGCAAGGGCATGATTGGACGTTGGGCAGTACGATTGCAGAAATACGATTTCGATATCGTTTATTGGAAAACATAGAAGCACGGGAACGCGGACGGGCTGACATGGTTGCACCGACCCAACAAGGTGGCCAGGGGCGAAGAGATCACTCCGTGGAACAAACCGGAGCCAACCGTCGGACCTTCGTACAGACAAGTGGCCAGCCTCCCCCGAACTTCTTAGCAGTGATCGACAGGCACTATGGCGATGGGACGTGGAGGTAATTTTGAAGGACTTCTCTCTCCCCTCCCATCTTCTTCTTTTCCCTCCCTGCCCGACAAATTTTGTTATTTTTGCGAAGCAATCTCTCGTGTTTACTCGGTCGCTATGCGTCCTAGGGGGCAAGGATATGTCGAATGGGTAAATTGTCAACAGTGTGTGACTGTGTGTCTCCAGGGCCCACGGCTCCTGTATTCAGTACAGGAGCGCAAACAAAATCTGGCTATGTCCCTTTTGCCGGAGTGATAAGATCCCGACCGAAGCTCGATTCCTCGAAACCACGTCGGAGGGATTGGAAAAAACCTGTAGGTTTAGAAGGGCTGAGGTGTGGACAAATGTCATTTTAATCGCTACAGTGGTTGGAAACCCCCTCCGAGAATTCACCGAGGATCAGAGGTGGGCCAATGAGAGGGCACAGGATTACCGATGGAATGAGGGACGGTTAGAAAAGCGAAAGACAAATGGTATTTGGATGGCCATGCCTCATCCGTTCATGAGGTATGACTGGTTTAAGTCGGCGTATGAGAACACTGCAGACCACTTCGCCGTCGAGATTACGGAGGCGGCGATTGATAAAAATAAATGGTATTGGTCCAATATTCGTGACGATGTTAAATTCATCGTTCAAAATTATCTGGTCTGTGCCGCCGACAAAGCGTCGATTCAGCAGCCTAGATCGATAGTGCCCACCGTAGTTGAACGGTCGTTCCAAAGGGTCATCATGAATGTCACTGATATTGTCGTGCCCCCTGGACCGAATAGTCGTGAATATTCAATTCTTTTGGTATTTGTAGATAATTTCTCTAAATGGATCGAGGCGTATTCTTGCAAGACGCGTCAGGCGACGGAGATCGCGTGGTATATTAACTGTTTTCTCGCAATGCATCAGGAGACAAAAGAGATCCTAACGGACAACGGGGCAGAATTCAGAGGGGAAGTCCTGAGGACMCTGGTCCTACATGGTGTCTCCATCTGCAATACCGCCCCCATATGTCACAATCGAACGAACTGGTAGAAAATGCGAACCGAGTAATCAAGAAGGCACTACAGCGTAATATCGTGGCGAGAGACACGAGGCCTTGGCCCGATATAGTGGACCACATCCTGGCTATTCACCGGGGAACACCCCATGAGTCTACCGGGCAAACCCCCTTCCAATTACGGACCGATAATTTGGCTTGTGTAGACAGTGTAGCCCAGTGCCGTACCCCCGTTCACCGTTCACGGGGGTTGTGAACGGAGACCGGTCACCGTTTACGAAAAATCGTGAACGCCGGTAGTAAACGGAGTTCATGGTGAGCGGGAACTCCGTTTTTTTTTTTTTTTTGGCTGGTAGGGGTA